TGCACTAAAGCACAAGTATCGTTTAAACACACTGGAGGAAGCTCGTACCATGTGAGATAAGATAAGATAATACCGACGAGCCGATTACCTTACTGATTGGGACGGACATGGAAGCCCGGGCAGGCAGATAAGGAACCTAGAAAGTCGTCATCAATCACGCGAAAAGAAGCTCTCGAATCTAAGGTTAACCTCCCAACTCTATCATGACGGACTACACCGGACCCTTCGTTGCCCACTGCGCGCAATTAAGTTGCCATGAGAATGCTTGCTGAAATATCTGCACTAGAGGAGTTTCTTTTGCCTTTTGATTTTTATATCCATCTGAACCTCCAGCCAACCTAAGTTAATCTCAGCTCCTGCAGCTGTCAGCCTCTCCCGGAACCCTACGGAGCACCGGCGGAGGACGTGGAGCATAATCTCACTTCGATATCACGACGCGCCAAAATGACGACCTCGTCTGATGGCCCGTTGATTGCCAAGTCAGCCAGTGCTGTCTTGGAGACTCATACTTCTTTCATGTCCAGTCTGCATTGTGGCACCGCCTGCGCCCGAACACACACCTTTATGTGAACGACACTTTGCAGGATCGTTCGGCCGTTATGCGCATCAATTTCCAGGCAGCGGGACGTTGGAGGATTCAAAGGGACGATTTCGAATTCATATTCCGGACGGCCTCTTTCTTCTCAACTTCTGGAACCAGTCAGGTGACTATGCTTTTCCATTTGGAAATATTTGCGACGAAGCGGGAGCTGTTTTGCCTGTTAGCCGGCCACCGATAGCAAAAGTCGCCGTACTCAGCCACACCAGTCCATGCCGCCCTCGTTCTCAATTGCCTCATGGACGTTGTCAAACTGACTGGCCTTGTTAACGGACGAGGAGATTTTCCTGAAATGGACTCTCGAGTGAAAATAGTTCGTCGTTCCGGTGGGATCGATGGGGTTTCCTGTTGGGATTCGGCTGCGACGATGCTCACCTCGCCTCCCAGAGTCCCCACGACTCCGGCAAAACTTGTCTCTGAGGCGAGCGGCTCATGTCTAAAACTTCCAAAATCGGAACCCGAGGGACCGCAGTGTGGTCTGTGTCTCGAGTTGCAAACGAATATTTCCAAATACCTACCAACTGATCTGCGATGGAACCAGGAATCTGGGGATGCCAAGAGTTGTAACCAACATGCAACCGATATCAGGCGCGAGAAAGATTATGGAACAGAGGATCTGCAGATTCCTTGGAGGACATCGTTTCCTCAACCTCCAGGGCCTCACCCTGAACGCCTCGGCCATGGCCGGTGCCTTTGTCGACCTCTCTCGACCTGTCGACATTGACATCATGTGATACTCCAAGAAAACACAGCCCAGTCGAGGTTTTGCGTGGTGCGGTCCAGGCTTTTTTGAGGCAAGGGGCCTTTCTGGGCTGAACGCAAAGCCCAGCCGTATCCAGGCACGCCAGGTTTCTCCTACACACTACCACGCTTCTGATACTAGCCCGGGGCCCGAACGTCCAAGATTGGGTCCCCTTTTCTTCCCCGCGGGGGCGGAACCTGCGGATCGCGTGAGGCGACGTTCGATTGCCTGTCTAGATCACTGGTTCGGTATTTCGGCAGCCTTGTGGCTGCATCTGCTACTTGAAGCTGTACGGCTCTTCGGCTTCTAAGCGCCGTGTCAAAAAGCTTGACTGACAACGGTCACCGACGACGGCATACTACACCCGCGCCGCGTAAGTCTATTCCCTCGCATCGCGGGTTTCCTTGATTCTTCTCTCGGTGAACACGATATCCGGAGCTGAATCAAAGTTCGAGGACAAGGGGCTGTCAGATTTACAGTTGTATGCTTCTTTTTTATTCCGTCACCAGGCCCTAGTCATTTGTCAATTGCGCATATCAGCAGCTCTCAAGAACGTCAAGAAATGTGCGCAACCCCCCTGGGAAAGCGTTTAACTCGCCAGCCTATCGAATCTCGTCGTTTTCGGATTGAGTCGTGGGCAACCATGCAACGAATGGTGTCGAGAAGACGACGAGCAGGGTGGGACGAAGCGAAGCGGTTTGAGGCGGTTTGACCTTGCTCGCCTCCCTTGCTGTGTTCTGCAGCACCGGCCCAACCACAGCATCCTTTGAACCACCAAAAGGGGATCAGGGGGATTGAACAAAGTTTGCTGCCCTCAAACGTGAAAAACGTGAAGAGAGAATGGGAAGGGGGGCACGAGCCAGGCAGATCACCCGTGGTCGTGGTTAATCGTGTGGATGTCTCTCCGGATCCCCAATGCTTATTCCTGAGACTGGCCAGGGGCGACCTTTGAGTTCCGAATCAAGCATGAATAACCTTACAAAGTCTGTGGGTGGCCCTGGTTCGCGCTGCATGATACGAAAAGGGTGTGGGACTGAAGACTTCGGACGAGGGAACAGAGTTTCGGTTGCCTCGAGCACCTTACCCTTTCTGAAGGTCTGGATGTAAAGGACTTGGGACGATGATGGACCGAGTCCCGAAACGACTCTCTGCGGTTGGCCTGACTCAATGGCTGTTGCTATTCTCATTGCGATGCAGATGAGGATATCGACAATCGTCTCTTGATCCATGAGTGGTGGCTCAGCGCCCAGCACATTGACGTCTGTCCTGCTAGAGTGGTTTCAGGCACCCTCGGTCACAATGTCTCGACATGTTCCGCCTCACGCCACTCACAGTCGTGTTGAGGGCACCTGATTTAGGACGAAAGATGAGTGAGTACATAAAGATCTGACTGATTCCGCGTCGTTTAGATCTTTTTTGATCTAGTTCGACGGCAGGCCTCACAGTATCAAATTTAATACAGACATTCCCTTGGAAACAGTTACTTCGGTTCAACATTCATCACAGAATCATCTAATATTTCATCAACTTCGGTTCACTTCAGTCCATCAAAATGAAGTTCCTTACATTCGGATTCCTTCTCGCCTCGACGATCGTTAGCGTCAGCAGTGCTCCCGCAGATATCGATAGCAGGGCTGTCAGGTAGGTCCAGGAGTATCACTTGTGCTGTACCGAGCAAGTCGACTAACAACACTTTCAGTTATCAAAACAACTATGACCAGCACTTGGAGGATCGTGAGGAGCGCAAGGAGGCTCGCGACATCTCCGTCCCCTCGTTCGCCGGCGTCGAGACCACCAGCGGTGTGGTTGCCGACATCGAGGTTGAGGAGAACGCCGTCCCCCTGAGGGCCCGCCAGCTTCTCAAGAAGAAGAAGGGCAAGAAGGGAAAGAAGGCTAAGAAGGCCAAGAAGGCGAAGAAGGCCGCGAAGAAGGCAAAGGCCGCTGCCCCCGCTAAAGCCAAGGGCAAGGCCGCGACCCCCGCCGCCGGTGCTGCGAAGAAGAAGGCCGCTACTCCCGCTGCCCCTGCCGCCGGTGGTGCTGCTGCCAAGGGCAAGGGCGCTGCTGCTCCTGCTGCTCCCGCTGGTGGTGCTGCTGCCAAGGGCAAGGGCAACGCTCCCCCCGCGGCTGCTCCTCCTGCTGCTGCTCCTCCTGCCGCTGCTCCCAAGGCTCCCGCGGCCGCACCTCCGGCCGCTGCCCCCAAGCCTCCTGCTGCCGCGCCCGCCGCCAACCCTCCGGCCGCTGCTCCCAATGGCGCCGCGAAGCCCATCACTCCCGCCCAGCCGGCTGCCGTCGCACCTGCCCCTGTCGCTCCTGCGATCCCCGCGGGCAAGAACAACGGCAACTGAGTTACGTCTCAGCAGCTGGTTGTGGAGGTTGGAGGTTAATGGATGGAGAAAATCAGCACTGGTGCTGGTTGCTTGATTCGGTTCACGAGGTTTACGACAATGCGCAGTTATGGCGATTTCACCGGGCCCAAACAGATGTGGTGACGAAAAGGTTTAGCCGCATAGGACGTGGGCAAACCCTCCCATTGGGACCCCTCCTCCATCTCAGTGGTGGTTGAGTCCGTGGGCTTTCGTCCCTGACGGCCTCAAAAAGCAGCCTAGGAGCTGTCAATGAGATGTCTGGATGAGGTAGGGGTTTGAGACCGGAGTGCGGAAGTACATACATAGCCACAACGAGCAATCCAAGCGTCAGACGTTTATTCCCATCTTGTTCGTTCTCGTCTCTGTCTCTTAGTCGCAGTGAGGTGCGAGTGGTGAGAAGGCGGCGCCCTCTTCCAGTGATCTCGAATATGTCGATGCGTACACATTTGTGAGACGAAATATCTTGGCGCTATGATGTCCGCGGCCTCCTCTTCACCAAGGAATCCCTTTCCTCGTTTCATGGATTGGACCCATGGAAACATGTTTCACTCTGGTCCCTGCCAACCACCACACCAATTTTTCAAACCCACGGACATGTAGGTCATGTTATACCCATGTGCACGCTGTGGCCGTCTCAACTTCTCTCCTGCTTGCCTCCCCCTCTTCACCCTCCCCATTTCTCCCCTCGGTTCGTTACATCTTTACTTGCCAGTGTCACCACCCAAAGCCAAGTTTACGAGCGACGGGACCCGATCTCTCCGGCGACCTGATCGACAGATTGAATGCAACCCTCTCTCATGAGATTTTCCAAGTGGCTCAACCGAGACATGTTAATGTAGCTCTGCACGATTCTTCACCCTCCTTTGGCAGCTACCTCGCCATCTGTGTAGAATGAGTCGAATATCTTAGCCAACCCTCCCGACTCAAGTCAGAGAGCTCCGGCCGCTCCACCCGGTCGCACCGGACACCGACAACCAATAAAGATTTCATTCCCATGATTCGAGCTTGCGTCAAATGAAGCTTTCCCTGTCTGAGTCCACAACCCCCCCCCGTCCACGAGGCAAGTCCACTTTTCCCTTCCTTTGGTGCGCTTTCCTTTCTTTCTTCTGTCCTATCCCCACCGAATTAGCTATTTGCGTCCCCGTTTTCCCGCACGCACATTGAAGAAAATTTCAACAACCTATCCACCATTAAGCCCACAACAACCCACGCATGAAAGGACTAACATCAGGTTCTGCTCCCGGATTTCCCATCAACGAGCATCCATCCCTTCGACTCCATCAAGTCGTTAAATGGCCGGTTGGCCCAATGGCAAGGCGTCTGACTACGATTCCGTAACAAGAACGTGTAATCAGGAGATTCTGGGTTCGACCCCCAGGCTGGTCAATTCTTTTGCTTCTAGGCGTATTCCACACATCAGCAGTTTAGCTGTTGGTTTTGCTTTTGCTTTCCTTCCATTTTGGCCGAAGATTCCGAATGTTTGTCTTCTCACACACCCGAACGCTACCTACTTAGTCAGGTGAGCGGCAACTGAGCTCCGGTTGGGTGGCCGTGTAACATGAAACAAGTCCCGAGTCTGTCGCGGGCAAGAATACCCGGTCGTGCTTTCTTGCAACCTGTCCCTATGTTGAGGGGATTCATTCATCACTGACGGAAGATGAAATTGGTTCAATCACTGCGATATTCAATCACGAACCGTGGGACGTTGAAGAAAAACTCTCTGCCCACAACTGCGAAGATTTAGCGATAAGCTTAAACTGGGTGACAGAACTCAAGCGTGACGCGAACAAGAAGTTTGTTGTAGCGATGCTTTTCGCTACTGAGGCCCCTCGTTCCCTGTATAAGCTCAGGCTTTTGCTCTGCAGTTTGTCACTCTGAGCTTGTTCAGAGACAAATACGTCATGGTCATGAGTCGTCGTCGTCTTCGTCAGACCACGTGAGAGAGTCGTTGGGGTTTGTGCTTTTGAGTTTGTTGTCGTCGCCAGGAGGGACTTGACTTCGTCGAGGTTTTCTTAAGAGGCGAGAGTGTGAGTTTTTCAAGATCAAGGTCAACGATGCACTTTCAAAAGGTCATGACAGTATGGTATGGTCTGCTTTCACCGACATCGGACAAGGAATCATTTGTATCATGCGTACCTACACCTCTCGTCGTCAGCATTGCAGCCCTCCCAAAGATTCCATAAACGTAGTGGCTCTTGAGGGCCACGTCGGAAGGCTTCTCTCGTCTCTCTCCTCTATCAATGATCCCTCGACGACTCGCAAAAGCTTAATCCCAGCGGGCGTTGAGGCAAAGCTGTCCTCCCCAAGTCCAGAGTCACACTTGTCCTTCAACTTGGCTCAAGTGTCTGTTTATTCAATAATCATGAGCTGCGTTCGAAGGCTTGTAGAACAGACGATCCATCATCGGATAGCCTTTCCATTAGCCTAACTGCCAAGTTTCTCGAAGTTAGGTTTTCTCTGCTTCTTCTGCACACTGCCCAAATGTCTTTTAGAATTAGCCGAGCACGTAATTCATCGAGACTACAAGCCCCGGAAGGATCATAGGCCCCTTCCATGTAATTGACTTAAGCCCTTTGCCCGTGTAGTTAGTGAAGGAAAGAGAGCTGTGATTCTTCGACATTACATATCGATGCCTCTCCTTTGCATCATTTGCCACACTCGCGAGAGATCAGTAGAAACTAATCAGGTTGATAAAAAACGAATGATCAACTGATCTCATTCACATGAGCCAATTCTGGGCTTCATTTACACACCAACGATTAAACAAACACACTGTATGTAATGAGGCGTGATGCATCAAGACACACTATTGGATCGCCTCGTTTCGTTCCCATCAGGCTTGGAAGTACATATATATATATATGTACCTAGTCACCATGAATACAGTCCATGAATGATACACACCAAAAGAAGAGGAAAACAAAAACACATCACGCATCGACAGAATCATTGTTGATCCGATCGATCAGTGCCTTGCTTTGAAATCCCAAAAAAGTTGCTCCTGGTGAGGATCGAACTCACGACCTCCGCATTTCTCACATTGATGATGTAATTATAAGAACGGCGCCTTCACCACTTGGCTACAGGGGCTTTCTTAACTTCCGAGAAAAATTAGTTTATGTACCATCGCACAACCCCCGGAGCTCGGTCCGACACCACGCGACGGTGCGGCGCAGCAACTGCCCATACATCCACATACACAAAGCACAATCCATAAAAGCACCCGATGCAAGTCCGATTTTAATCACAAAGAGCGCTGTCCTCAAATTCGTCGATATGCTCTGTTCCAACGCGGCGATGTGCACTGTTAGTGCAGTACATTGCTGCAGTGCACCACCTCTATCAGAGACTTTGATTGGGTAACGTGGGCTTTGGTGGGGTCCGGGTTACAGGTCGCTGGTGAGGAGAACAGCGATCGGAGATCGGGATACCTTTCTGGTGCCCTCCAGCTGTTCCGCCCACTGTTCTCAATGAGATACAAAATATGTCCCTGACACCATGTTCAAATGCTCTAGGATGTACAAGACGAGTTGTGCGCGAGACGACCGCTAGAATTCGGAGCGGATATACGTACACGGATGATTATTTGCTCTGAGCCTCTCCTTCCACGGCAATCATTTAACTTTCTTCTGAGAATATCTTCCATTACACCTCTGCATTGTAGCTGCCATACATATGGAAAGGCGCAAACAAGGCGAAAGGTAGGTATGAGGCAACTTAGCCCTTCTGTGCTGCCACCGTAGGCGCGACCGCCGTCCCGGCAGGTGGGGCACCCGGAGTCCGGAGGACGCTAAGGATGACCGAAGGCGAGCGATCCCAATGACTCTGCCCGGGACATTAGCATGTCCCCGATGGGGCTTCCTAGGATGTAAACCCAAATCCATCATCTTTACTCCCGTCTTTTTGTTTGAATGCACCGATACATGGCTGTTGTCCCAACCTACACACGCCTTTGAGCAAATTTCCCCGTATAACTTATTCTCGTCATCAAGAATTTTAAACGGGACCCGCCCTGCTTATCTCCCGCTCTACCGTATCGTATCCGCTCGGCACAAAGACTTCTAACCATCTTCTGTTATCCTTTTGGCCTGCTTCTAATCAGCAGCGGACTCTATGGTGTTGATGATCTAGGCCCAGAAAATTGCTCCTGGCCAGGACATAGATTGAACTGAGGACGGCTTCTGAGATATCTTAGGCACAAGGCGAAAGAGTCAAGACAGATTGTGGAACTGAATTCTTCACTTGTATCAGCAGACAACCAGGATCATTCTTCAGAGGCATTAGATCCAGATTTTCATAGAGCCAAACATCAGCCAGACAAAGACAAGAAACATGGTGATCCAGCAACGGGAAAACCTACATCGAGATGCGTGAGTTGAGCTTTTGCGTCGTTCAGACATGACACTGCATATGATTGTGCGTTTGACTTCATCAGAGGTCGTCTGTAGCTTAACCATATGTCTTGATATCCTGCTGAGCGTTTTGCCAAAGAAATTTCGCATCGATTTCAATCTTCATCCGCTGACTCCGAATCAGATGACAGTAGACGAGGAAATGGTCCAAGGCGGCATGAACTGCTCCAAGAGTGTATTATCCCCGAAATGAAGTCTACGTTAGGCCCACAAACGGAAAGCAAATCTTGAAGTTTGAACATGTCGTCTCTGGGAATCGCCAACTGGACCTTCCAAACACTTCAACTTCAGCTCTTCATATACACAAGGCCATACAACACGAGGCAACAAACAAGCAAAGGCTACCAAGATCGAGAGTAAGAGGCGCCGGTGGGGATAAGAGATAGTCAAAGTACCTACTGGAAGCATAAGGCAGTCTAGCGATGTTGCCGATTGCCCTGCTCGAAATCACTCTCACCTCGCCTACTCTAGTCTCACACACTCCATCCTCACTACCTTGCCTCACATCTCGTACCCACCTTTTCACGTTTATCAACAGCCTCACTTAATATCTCAACACGTGACTTTTGACCATCAAGATTAATTGCGCATATTCCGACTCACTCCTTCCCGAAAGATGCTGGCCATTGTGTATTTTCCAGAAAATTTCAACCTCTGACTGCGTTCACCAGCCCTAACCAGCTATTCGATCCTCCCTCAGGAGAAATTGACAGACTCACGGCAGGTTCGACCTCTTCCCTCCACTGTCCCCCAAGTAACCTCTCTTTTCCTCTTGACAACTTTCCTCCAAAGCGGTCGATGAATTGTTTCCTCACGCTTACCACCCGCTCACCTCATCACTCACCAAGCAATATCGTCAAAATAAGCAACTGGCTTCAGGTCTTGGCCTCTGAACCAGGTATATCTTCCCACCCCTACAAGCCAGTGAAGAGCGATACATCTAATCCAGCATCAGGCTCACAAAAGAATATCATTGTTCGTGACCTAGCTTGAGCAGTCTTCCTTCACAACCTTTGCTCATTTTCACAGAGCGGACTCGCCCACTCATCCACAAGCGCAGTACTAGCCGTAGGTAGACAAAGCAGTCACGATGGATCACTTCGCCGAAGAGGAAAAGTTTGCCGATCTTCACGATTACAAGAAGAAGATAGTCGATCGTATTCCCGCTACCGTCTCGGATACTTATCGCAGCACACTCATCAAGACCATTGATTATTTCATCGACACCCCGGACCCTGGCAACTGTACTCTCTTTTGGAAGGTCAACGCGGAATATGTCTCCAATGTTGAGCCTCCCTCGCACTTCGTCATTGCACTCTGTCTCGCCTCGCCCTCGCTTGCTCTGGAGGGTCAAGCTCTTGAGTTCCAGAAGGACTTCTACGCCAAAAACCCCGATGTGGCTCACCACTTGAACGAGTGGACTGTCCAAGGTCTCATCAATCACCACAACAAGAAAGTCCTCTCTGGGGACATCACTGGCGATTATGTTCACAACATTGACGGCAGTCCTTGGAACCCCGAGGCTATTATTGTCAGCCACCCTAACCACAAGCGCCCAGCCTCTGCCGTTGAGGATATGGTGCCTGGTCCATCGTCCAAGAGAGGACACTTGGCTCAGGAGGCGACCACGTCGCTCCCCTTCTTCGAGAACAAGGACACTCCCCGTCTCAACTTCCTCGCCCAGGCACAAGAGGTCCCCAAGGACTTGCGCCCCATCCTCCCTCCCATGCCCGAAGTCCCCAGAAGCCCGTCCATCGGCGATATTATGGAACTCCCCCTTCCAGATCGCCCTATCTCGCCCAATATCTTCCTTAACCCTATCCCGGGTATGAAGCGGGATGAGGAGCGCCTCGACAACGGCTCTCTCTTCAATAACCCAGCCAGGTTCCCTGATGCGCCCATTCCAGGTATGACAGAGGACAACGAGCATCTTGGCAACGTCTCTCTGTATGGCAACCCAGCAAATTTCCCTACTGCGGACTTCCACAACCCGTTCAGCCCTGCTCGCGAGCCGTCCACCTTCCTCGCCAACGATGACTATGGCTACGGAAGCTATGGCATGGCTTCAGCTGGCTACAACTCCAGCGGCCCCGCTGGCTTCTCCAATACCCAAGCGACTCCCTTGCCTGTCGACCCGTCTGGTGGCCCTTATGACAACGACAACAACCCTATCGCCTATGGCGCCTCTGAGGCCCCCATGACCATCTACAGTTCTCCCTCCGCCGCCAACCTGCCGACCGGCACTCTCATTCTCGCGCCCCCGGCTGTCGCTCAGGATTCCGCTATCTTTGCGAACGGTGACCAGGCCTCTGCCGTTCAGGACTCCACTACTCAAGCTTCCGCTGGCGCTCCTGTCCCTCCCGTCAACCCCTGGATCGCAGCCGAGCAAGCCTCCGCTTCGCGCATCGCCCGCATCACCACCCTCATCGCTCAGAAGCAAGCTGAGGCCCAGGACAAGATGAAGCACGCCGAAGCCCTCCGCACCGAGCACGCCGCCCTGGTCAACCCCTTCCCCCTCATCACCGACGCGGCCCGCGGCGCCTACTTCACCTCCGCCGAAGGCGACGCCCTCCGCAAGTTCGTCATGGAGGCCCACGACTTTGAGGCCCGCGCCCAGAAGTTCTACAGCGAGGCCGTATCGGCCATGTTCGAGGCCTCGCGTCTCGAAAAGGAGCGCTACGAGGAGAGCGTCGACGCCGGTAGCAAGCGCGTCGAGCGCATGCAGACGCTGGTCCACAAGATGGCTGGCTTCGCTAGAGATGCGCAGGGCCTGGCGCTTGGTGCCCGTCCCGGCGAGGCGCCTCAACTTCCGGGTGGGGTCAAGGACGTTGGAGATATCGTCAGTCGCATGGCGCAGCTGAAGCAGTCGTCGGAGTACCTGGTTCAGCAGATTCACGTCGTTGAAAAGGACTTCCGGCAGTATCGGGAGTATCGCCAGTTCATGCGACAGATGCAGTAGTCCGTTCATGCTTCCAGAATATGCTTCCTGGGTACTCTATGAGCTACAGGGAGGAATTGTGGTTTTGGGGGGTTTGCTATACTCGTTGAACCGAGGCGTTGGTTGCTACTTCCTTCTTCTTTGCTAACCTACCGGATTTCTCATACTAATCGCATCCGCAAGGAACAACAATGAGCGACGGGAAGGTTATGGCTTTCAGGAGTTATTAGACGTTTTCGGGCAATGGAACCCTTCGATATACCCCCTGTGCTTTGGCTTCTTTGCTTTGGCTTGTTTGTAGCCTATATACCCATCAGGAAATGCCCAAGGACCTCGGAGAAATGAGCAAGGATGCAAGCTCAAGAAGATAACGACTTTGAGTTTGAGCTTACGAGAACAAGAGCCTAAGAGATACGCATTGAGAACACTAAAGTCATGATTCAGCTGAAGAATCCCCACGTAATAATGATCATCAACAAAGTCGATGATCAATCAGGACAAGTTGATAATTCTCTCTGCAAAGGACGGTAAAAACCAAAGAGAAAGAAGACCGAATAATCAAAGCAAGTGAAGCATTCAGGTAATGGTCGATATGCCGTTCTGTATTATGTTATAATAAGTGATGGTAGGTAGTAAGTACCTCGAGGTGAGTAGTATCGATCGCTCTATCAATATCGATGGTGTAAGGCCCCCAGAAATCCTCAACGCCTCTTTGGTATAAATCCAAATAAAAGAGAGACCATGTTTTTGAAAACAAAAGTCAAACCAGAAAACACAAGTAATTCCAATTTTTGGACCTCCTCGCCCTCTCTTTTAACGCTTCGCTCCCTTTCCCCCTTTGGTATTATGCATTACAAACATTGTTTAAGCACAACTGATACTCCAACTCGTCTGGCAACCCACCGCGGCATAGCAAGCCGGGTTCGTGATGAGCAGGAGCCTACTACTAGCGCAGACATTGAGCGCCGTGCAGCAGAAACCGTCGCCACACTTTGCGTTGGCAGCCGAACCGCAGGCCGCACCGATGGTACTGACCGTCTTGACGGTAGATGCCGCCGCGGATGTGGCTGCGGGTGTTGCGGCGGTAGTACCGGACCCGGAAGAAGTATCTGTAAATTAACCTAATTAGCCAAAACAAAATTCGTATTAGCAAGGTCATATAAGCCAAAATATTCAAGTTTACTCACCACAGGTACCGTATCCAGACTGGCATCCCGTGCCGCAGAAAGCAGACGTGCTACCGCAGTATCCGTACGCCGAGCAGCAGTTTCCAAACGTCGAGCCGGCGCATGTCGATCCACCGTTGGTGGAGCCGCAGTTTCCGTTAAGCGAGACGGCGACGTTGACGCCCGTGCCGGAGCACTTGCCGAAGCCGGACTGGCAGCCCGTATCGCAATGAGCGGTGGTGTTGCCGCAGTAGTTATAGGGGGAACAGCAGTCGCCAAAGTTGGAGCCGAGGCAGTTAAAGCCGTTTGTGCCGGCGCACTCGCCGTTTGTCGAGATCTTTGTGTTTGTCGCGGCGGCGGCGTTGGCGGTCGTGCTGCCACTTGCGACAACGGAAGAGGCGCGGGTCGCTGCGGAGGAGGAGCCTGCGGCGGCGGCGCCTGAGCTTGAGGCGGCGGTCGTGCCGTTGCAGGAGCCGTAGCCTGCTTGGCAGCCTGTGCCGCAGTGGGCGTCGGTGGTGCCGCAGTAGTTGTAGACGGAGCAGCATGTGCCAAAGGTGCTTCCCGTGCAGGACTTGCCGGCCGCGGCACCACATGAGCCATCGGTGGAGATGAGGGAGGTGCTGGGGAGAACGGCGGAGGCAGAGGACGTGCCGCTGGGGGAGGCTGAGCCGGAGCTGCTGGCTGCACCAGAGGAGCTGGCGCCGCTCGAAGAGGAGCTGCCGGAAGCGGATGATGTGCCGTTGCAGGTACCAAAGGCGGACTGGCAGCCTGTTCCGCAGTGTGCGGCGGTGCTTCCGCAGTAGTTGTAGACGGAGCAGCAGTTACCGAAGGTCGAGCCGAAGCACTGCTTTCCGCTGGCGGCACCGCAGTCACCGCCGGTGGAGACGGGAAGCGTCGAGGTGGATGAGGCGGCGGAGCTGGAGGCGGACGCTGTGCCGGTGCCTGAGGAGGAACCTGAGGACGAGCGAGTGTTAGACGACGATGATGTTCCGCTGCGGGTGGACGAGCCGGAGCTGGAGGTGCCAGTGCGAGAAGAGCTGCTACTAGTACCGATGCGAGACGAGCTGCTGCTGCTGGTACCGGTGCGGGAGCTGGAGCTCGACGTGCCGGTGCGAGAAGAGCTACCGCTGCTGCTAGTGCCGCTGCGGGTGGACGAGGAAGAAGAGGTCCTACCTGATGAGGTGCCACTGCTCGAAGAAGAAGTAGTATTGGATGCTGAGCTTCCGCAGGTGCCGTACTTGGACTGGCAGCTCGTGCCGCAGTAGACGGAGCTGGAGCCGCACCATCCTGCGCCAGAGCAGCAGTTACCGTAGGCGGAGCCCTGGCAGGTGAAGCCAACGGTGGAACCGCACTGTCCGTTGGTGGAGACGGCCGTCGAGGTGGAGGTCGCGGAGGAGGTGCGGGTAGACGAAGACGTCTTGGTCGAGCTGGACGAGGAGCTGGACGTGCTGGAGCAGACCTTTGAGCTGACGGGGGTGATCTTGAAGTTGTAGGCCGGGACGGCACCGCGGTACCAGTTCTCTGGGGGGTCACCAAGGCAGGTGCCGACGGTGACGGCGTTCCAGCCGTTGGCGACGACGGAGTCGAGAATGTGGTTTGTCAGGGTCGTGGCGATGTACTGGTGGATGTCGTGCTCGATGTGCAGGTAGCTGCCGTTGCAAGGCGTGCGAGCCTGCATGGCTTGGTCCCACAGGTTCACGCTGAACTGGATCTGGTCGGCCGGGGTGTGTAGGTAACCCTGGGTGTCGAGATCGAAGTAGGTGATGTGGTAGCCCAGGTCGGCCATCTGTCCCTGGCACTCGGCTCCGCAGATAGAGTAAGGCGGACGCATATAGGTAGGGAAGAAGCCGAGAATGTCCATGAAGGCGATCTCGTTGTAGACCATCTGGTTCTTGCGCTGCGCCAGCGTCATCTGATCCAGGTTCTCGTGGGACCATGTGTGGCTGGCAACCTGGTGACCATCGGCAATCATTCGCTGGAGGAGGTCAGAATAGGTAATCACAAGCAAGTATGGCTCAGAAGCTTACTGTGATGACATCACGGTAGTTGACATTGATCATACCCTTGCCGATGTTGTTGCCCGTGATGAACCAAGTAGCGACGGCACCATGAGCCTTGAAGGCATCCAACATGGCAGCAGTGTAGATGTAAGGACCGTCGTCGTATGTGATGGCCACATCACCCTGGTTAACGCAGGCGTAAATGCCAACGCCACCGTAGGGAATGTCACCGTTCTTTGGCCTTGCGTAGTTTGAGGTATCCGGACCATTGGGCTTCTCGTTACCGTCGCATGCAGGACCATAGTTGATCTGGCAATCGGGGGACGCGCAGTATTCTTCACTCTGACCACACCACCTAGTTGCAATGTTAGTCAAAAAGCGTTGACAAGTGAGGCAGCTGCAACATACCCAGATGCTGAACAGCAGTACCCATCGGCACACCTGCCATATGTTCCTCCACACTGCGAGTTGTCTCCCAACGGGATTGATGACGTCTGGCGAGGGCTGAGCTTCACGCGATCCGCGCGTGGTTTGTTGGCTACCGTAGGCGGGTTCCAGGGCTCAAAAGCATTCCGTCTCTGTCTCAGCTCGTCCACGTCGCGAAGACGTGGCAACACCATATTGGGGTGAGGAACTTCATCCTCGTCGTGAGCATGAGCTGCTTGTAGCCCTGCAAGGGTGGCTAGTACAACAGGAGTCCAACGCATGATGACTCAAGTCGTTACTGGAAGGAAGAGAAAAGATATTACTAATAGACCCGGTGATTAGGTTGATGTAAGTCGTAATAATCGACTACTCTCAAAAGATTGTCTTCAAGGAAACAAACAAACTCGAAAACAACCTAAGAGATAAATGAGTGCTCTTAGGCTTTCTTTATTAGGATACTGAAGCACCTTTGATAGAGGGATACCGAAAGGGAATGCCATCTTGAAGAACCCGTGCGGTCCCCAGTGTTATATACAAGGGGAGACGCAGACCGGGGGAGGCGTTCATGTTCGATGTCGCAGTAGAAAGCGGCAGCAGTGACATTCTCCATGAGAGACTTCTCCCATAGTCCAGATTTGGCGATGGCCGCAAAAAGACACACACCAACACCACTTACACGCCCGCGCCACACACCCCTCCCACCCCATCCCCATCCGACTGGGAGGACCGAGCAATACCACAATGGAAATTGGAGGATCGCGAGGACTAGCTTGGGAGTAGGTCTACCGGGTACGGGAAAGTTAGCGTGGCGCCGAATGGGACCCTCCCCTCCAAGCTCGCGCCGTCCGGGACGGGTAGCAAAGAGAACCACATCATGGATTCAATGGAATCGGTAAGAATGGGAGAAAGAGAGTGGGAGAGAAACGACAATGACGCGCGCTTGTTCCTCGATTCACTCCGCACATCGTCCCACACGCTTCTTCTTGCCTAGCTATCCAGAAGGGTCCATCTGGCGCCAAGATAGCACCAGTTCGGGGCCGATGAAAAGAATTTGATGGGCAAGATTGTTAGGGTGAGACCATGCCGAAGGCAGCGAAAGAAACCGACAAGAAGGACACACGGATAGAGGTCATGATCGAACCGACGTAAGGTACGGATAAACGAGAGAGGCGAGATGGGCGGAAAGGCGAAGGCGAGACTCACAGTCATCACACTCCACGAGAGCAACGCGGTCATGGCGGGGCTAGCAGGCGGAACAAGCCACCGGTTGCGACTTTGACGGACCGTCGAGCAGATGTGGGACGCCGTAGCAACGCCAAGTGGCTTGACGGAGACGCACCGACGGGAATACCTATACCTCTCTCCCACTCTATCATCCATGGGCTTCTACCTCGAGCTGTGTGATGGTCCGATGGATTATGGGGCAGAATACCACGCTGCGGGCAAACATCGCTGGATCACAGATCAGAGGACCATAGCCTATTCCAGATCTTGCCGGGCGAAAAAACAAAGTCAGCCAGGACCGGTATGGATAAGAACAGAGACAAGCCCTGCCGCTCCTGGGAAAGCCGGGGTGGCGTTTTTTCGCTTCAGAGAACCGATCTCGTGCGTATGTGCTTGTTGTATGCGTGTGGTCTTTGGCTGGCTTGTATGTACGGAATCGCAAAAAAAAAAAAAAAAAAGAAGATGTAAGACAACACCCGTTCCAATCCCACCCCATTCCATCCCATGATTTCAGGGTCGAGAACGTCCACACGGCTGTGAGAAGAGACATGGCTAGCAGGGGGGCTCTAGTTCGAAGACGGCCTCGGTGCCTGGCAGTAGCGTCTTCGGACGAACTGACCAAGACAAGAAACTTGAGTTTGTCGCTCTCGCAAGATCGGAGAGAGAAAAATAGAAATTTGGACGGATGCGGACGGGCAGGACGGGTTCCCGGCCGATCCCATCTTTCATTCCTTCCATAGTCTCCATGCTGAGCCTCTCCCTCACCCACCACTCTCTTCCTCCTCTCCTAGCGTAAGGTATGATTTCTTTCGGTCTCTGCGAATAGTAGACAAGCCTACGCTCGTAAAACCCTTGGCTTCTCCGAGGAGAGAGATAGGGTGATGGTGAGAGCACTGCAACGTGGGGAAACCTAGACCCTTGGCATTGCTGCACCACCACAGGTGAGCCCGTCCCCCCTGACACACGGCCATCTTGGTAACTTCTTGGCCAGGCTTTTGCCAGGTTTTGGTGGAGTTTTCTCCTTGTAATCTAGGATCTAGCCCATCTATCCCCAAAGTGTGTCCCATTATGTGGTTCAAGCTCCTTTCACTGACACTCTGACCTCGAGGCCATGTGGTCTTGGCATTGACAGCTTGCCCCCTAAATACATTAGCAGCTAAAAGAATGAGCGTGGTAGTACCTAATGCAGAGCACGGAAGCATGGAAGCATAGAATACTAGAGTAGGTACTAGGCAGGTAAGCCATATACTTCAGGTCAGAACAGACGCATAGAGACGATCCGGCAGCTTGGTATCACAAGCAAAGCTTTGACAATCATGGACAATCGTAGATGAAGAAACTTTGAACGTCAACTGAACTCTACGCCGCTGGACGGAAGCGAACAAAGCCTTGCACATGCAGCATGCAGGAAGATCAAGTCAATCGTGCACATCCCCACCACACGACATTGCACATCGTTACTAGGCCAGATCGATCCGAACCCGAAAGTTTGCTTCCAAGTTAATCCCCAGAATCGGGAACCAGCCGTGCCAGCCGAGCCTAAGTGAACCATGGGCGTGGCACTGGGTAAGGTAGGATAGTCATCGGTTGGTGCGTTTGTGTAACATATCACGGAGACACTACTTCTCGGATCGTGTGATGGTCCACTCGCAAGCAGATTTGTTGTACGAATGAAATATCATTTAGTTGCTGTCTTGTGCCCAACAGCATTCCACATCAGCTTCCTGATCTGCGCTGACTGACGTGCCGACATTCCGGCTGCGACTTTGTTGGATAAGGTTGGGCTGTTGATAACTCCAGTACGCCGCGACGCCACACCCCTCCCCCTCCGGAATTGGTATACCTATCAAATCCATTATCGGACCATTCGTTGTTCTTACAAGTGACGTCGCTGGGAAAGGCGCGTAGGTCTTCTCCACATGGCTGTTTGCGGTATTCTCGGTCATCGCCAAACGCCACAACCCTACGATACGGGCTGTCCTCCGTTCACCTGGCCATGGACTTTGCCTTCGACTCGCTCTCCGCCACAACAGCTTGAACGCCTTCTTCCCAGCGTTGTTTGTTATCGTACTGAACTAGATGCTCAACGTCCTCAAACTATGAGGCTCGGCACGCCGAGAGCCGAGAGTTGATTGTCAGTTCAGATTGCCGAGACCCGTTAGGGACCCGGACACGCTTTTGGTGATGTACACCAGTCTTCTCATCGGTCGACCATCAGACTTAGGCATTCTGAGCCTTCTCGGCAGCCTTTGCCTGCGCCGCAGCAGCCATCGCCTTGGCCTTTGCGTCGGCATCATCGGCATTTGCTGAGCTGGACCCTGAGGCGCCACTGCCGCCAGCACCGTAATCGAGCTTGAGCATGTCGTCTTCGCTGAGGAGCTCATCGATATCTGCCTTGGTGACTCCTGCGCCCTGCTCAGCTTTCTTGCGCTCTTCTTCGGCTTGTCTTTGCTTCTCTTCTTCGCCTTCCTTTTTCCGGCGCTCTTCCTCTTCTTCCTGCTTCTTGGCAGCTTCTTCGGCTTGCTTCTTGGCCTCTTCAGCGGCTTTTTCTTTCTCTTCGTCCGTTGGGCCGATGCTGCCTTCTTTGTTGTCGCCCTCGCAGCGCTCGCGCTCCAACTTCATGTCCATGATCAAGCTGAGCTCAGGGCAGTAATCGAAGATCTTTTTCCGTTGCGTGGGATTTTTCCACACCTTGTCGGAAATTCCCTGGCCGCCATCCTTGACGTGGTATCCCATGGGCTTCTCCATGTAGACGTCTTCCACTGCCAGAACACCCTTTCTGCCGTGGGCTACCTTTTCACCCTGCATGACCCAGAGTCGCTTCCCGTACCATTCGTCCTCGGCTTCCGTGTCATTGTATCTTTCCTGAAATTGCAACACTCTCTTGATGGACGAGACTCGTCGAAGAGAGAGTCCGCCGTTGCCGGAGAAGCGATCATCAGGGGTCCTGTGAACGAGGTTAGCAAGGGATGAGGGCCGCGGAGGACAACTTTCGAGGGGGACCTACTTGGGTGCGCCAGCCCAACTCCAGTCGAGCCACTCGTTGAGACTGGTCGGTGAGTTGGAGCAGAGGATACTGTCGGATTCGAACTTGAGGATCCATTCCACACCGGGGAGGAATTCTTCGTAAAAACGAATGTCGGTCAACAGGCGAAATACGTGTTCCTTAGTGTCAATCTCCCACGGCTCAGGGAGGACCATCAAGTCGAGCTTCCCGATAACCTGCTGGTGCTTGATGCCGTAGCTTCGGGCGACGCTGACAACGCTCTTGTTGGAGCCAATGAATAGGAATCTCCAGTCGGGAGGCACGACCGAGGTCATGTGCAATAGCTGGGGTACGAGATGCGGAATAGGGCGCGGCTCGATAATCAATGCTATTTTGGATGCATTGTAGTTGGATCTTGGGTCCTTGCTCAGGTCGGGTTTCCAGTCAACCTTGATCTTGGGCATTTTCTGGCGGGCCTCGTCCAATCTCGACTTGAACTCGGCCTTGATCATAGGCTTGTAGCTCGGTAGGAGATGAGCAAACCACCATCTGCATACGTTGTCAGCATGTCATTCGCCAGTGAAGCTTCAAGGAAGTTTGCGATGGGAAAGACGAACGTGATGGCCAGCGACGCAACTAGCAAAAGTCGGGTCTTTGTGATGGCGAAGACGCCGGAAGAACCGTTCGTGGCACCCATGTCGCTGAACTGTGAACGTCCAGGAACGGCGCAGCAAGAGCAGGGCGCAAACGAGAGAATGGGACGGCGTCAGGGACGGTGTCGCAGTGATGGATTAGAATCGGTTGTAAAAAGGAATCGAGGCAATCGGAAGCTGGAAATTCGAGAATTCTCTGACTTGACTGAAAGGTGCTGGTTAGAGGCGCGTCATGTCGACCACGTGTTGAAACCGCCGAGACTGAATGCCAATATGGACTTGGTTTCGTGTGTTGTGGACAGGCAGACCTCTTGGTAGTGATTCAGCTTTCCAAGGGCGCTGGCGAGGAATTCTCAGGGACTCGAGCCTCGGCCGGTGCGGTAGGTCTTGGAGTTGAGGTACAGTGCAGCGCAGTGCAGAAAGCAGCAGCAAGAAGAGACAAGTGTCTTCCGTGGTTCAAGGGAGAGAAGAGAGGCTGTGAAGGGCGAAGGAAAAACGAAAAACGAAATACAAGGGGTTCCGCGGGCCGCTCGATAGTCCAGATAGAGAGGACGGCGAAGTTTGTTAGATGACGAATCGCGTCTGCAGGCTTGCGGAACGGCGCTCACTGGTGGCAGTGGGTGGTGGTTCACTACTATGTAGAGTAAGAGTCGAATGTCACCGAAATCCCACTCGTTCTACTAGGTGCAGGGTCCAGGAATGGGTGCCGGGAAAGAGGGGGGAAACCTGGCTTCAATCAACCGATCCCAATATCGATAGACGGTTGACCGCCCGCTGGAAGCAGAGGCTGGAAGCAGAAGCTGGAGCCAAAAGTGAGAGAGTTAGAGAGACGCTTGGCGGAAGATGTGGGAGGAAGTGGGGCCTTCCTTGCCTTAGGTACAGAGTAAGGTACCTTACTACGTAGATTGAGGTGATAGAATTCGACGAGAGGTCAAGCCTGAGGTCCAAGTTACCTTGCCGCAGTCTGCAAGGCAAGCCCACACTGGAACAGCCAGCACATGGGCGCAGGGAGACGACGGAAGAAACAAGTGACGGGCAAGTACCCAGGTGTACCTTCCTCTGCCTACCTATCTTACACGTCGACATCCACTTTCCCATTTCCTTCTTCTTTTGGTGCAGGCAGTCGGACGTGGTGGCATGCAGCCAGTGGAGGCAGGGAAGGGCTCCTCCCGCTAGCCCCACATTACCCGGGTTCCTCCCTTTCCATTTGCACTGCGAGTCTGAAGTCGCGAAGTCAACCACACATTCTGGGACAAACTACACAGTTCTTTTCCTTTCTTCCTCACTGGCAACTGCAAGCTGCCATTCGGTCTCGTCTTCCGGCCGAGATGCTCGTCGTCTCGAACACGACAAGGTTCAAATTGCATTGCCGCCATCAACCCAACATCTACAGTACGCAGTAGGTATCACACTCGACTGCATCCATCCCAGCATTGGGCTCTCTTACCATCGAGGAGAACTTCATCTCGTGTTGCACCTGTTCGCCAATGCTACCACCTATCGCCCAAACTCCTGCAGTGCTGGGAACCATCATTACTCGACCACACTACATACCTAAACAACTAACATCTTTTGGCGCACGGCTCTCTGGCAACTCCAGATGACGTACAAACGACTGCCCGTCAGCGACAAGATCATTTCCGAGCGCGCTGTCAGCCTTTCATTATTTCCAGAACGGACCTGCTGTCGCCCAGCCCAGCGTTGAGTTTGACGAGCAAATTGCGCGGGTTTATTATTTAAACGCTACTGGCAAAAGGAACGTCGTGGTCAGCACTCAGAAGTGAAGGCGATTTTTCTTCTTCCCGAGAGAAGTGAGTCTCTTTGTAATGAGTCGCCTCGACCAAGACTCATTTGCGCCCGCCCCGCCCGTCGCGTTCCTCATGTGCGACAACAAGAATGCGACCGCACAAGACAACTGTGTCAGGTGGAATTTGAAAGTTGAACCTTGAAAACGAAGCCTATTTCATTCTCTTTGCTCCTTGCTTGGACGAGGCAAGCCCCAAGTCCAAGTAAGCCCTGAGGATGCTCGGCAGGGACCATGGACCGAGCCTTGCATTGGGCTGTGCCGCTACAGACTTGGGCATGTTCGGGAAAGCTTCCATGTTTGTCGGCAATAGGCAATCATACGAATACTGCTTACAGGCTGACAGGGCATCGTACATGCATGCGTGCGGCGAAGCAGCGGAAAGCAGCACAGTCGCTCGCTTATCCACGACCTCTCGTCTCTAGTCTCTCACAAAATGTCAATGGTTTCTGTCCCATTGTCGTGCATGTGAGGAACCTGTTGACTGTGGCGGGTTAAGCCGACTGCCACCAGTACTATTGTATCACGGTGCATCCGTACGAATACTGTACGCCGTTCCAACTTTCAACATGCTTTCGTTGCTGCAAAGTTTAAGTGGAAGTCAGTCGTTGTATCGATGCTTTTTGAAACTTGAGACATTGGGCTTGCGCGGTCTCCCTTGTGCGCCCTCACATAATAATCTCCGTGGCGAGGAGTTGAGATTAAATTGACGTTGGACGATTGAACTTGGGTAAAGACTACCACGGTATCACCACTTCGTGCGAGGCTCCCCCAATTGCGAGAGTTCGCTCAGTCATGAGCTGGTTGTTCACTGGCGAAGCCTGCCTGCCTGGTTCCTACGGTATACAACGTACCGACTACCGTTCCATTGGGCGCCTTGGGTCCTACCCTGGTCTTTAATGCAGCCGGATTATGGGTGTCACGGCCGGCGATACCGAGAGACCGGCTCGGGGTGGTGATTGTTGGTTGCGC